ATTAATAAAAAAAAAAATAATTTTTTGTTGCTATTTTGAGTGGTTTATCAATATAAAAAATGTATCATTTATTATTCATTGACGTGTTTTTTTTTTTATTAAAGAAGATGCACAATATAGGCCTATCGGTGCATAATGGCCAATACTACACTTTTTAAAATTTATTTATGCTTTTGGATATTTAATTTTGCATGCTTATTTTACAATTTGTCCCCTATTTTTATTTATTTTTTTTTTTTACGTTTTTATTTATTTAATACTTTTTTTTTTTTTTTTTTACAATCTTGAATAATCTTTTTTCTTTTGAAAATGACCATTTATTATTCAAGGATTTTTAAATTATTATTTTTTTATTTGTTTGCATGTTTGAATGGTTGATTAATATAAAAAAAATACATTAACACATATTATTCATTGACAAGGATTTTTTTATAGGCATTCACAATGTATTTGTACCATATTGGCCGATATTACAGATTTATTTATTTATTTGTATTAGGAGGATATATAATTGTGTGTGTGCTCATTTTCCCCATTTTTATGTTTAAATACTTTTATTAAATGTCATCTAATGTAAACCTATATCTTATCTTTGAATGTTTGTTTTGTTTAAAATAATTTAAAAAGATTTTTTTATATTTACAATAAAATTTTAAGAAATAATACATATTAAAATGCATGTAATAAAGTTATTTAAAAATGTAATAAAATAAAATTATTATTTAATAAAATAATTATATAAATTCATAAAAATATTAAAATACTAATTAAATTTAAATCATTATAAAAACATTCATAATGTAGTAATGCTGTTACTTAAGCAAAAGTAATTAAAAATAGATATAATTTTCATACTTTATAGCCTAATGTTGTGATGGGTTTTTTGTTTTATTTTTAATTTATTTAGACAAAAATAGTATAAAATTTTAGTATCGGCTATAACAAATGAAGATAATAATCAGCTTATTGATATCGGCCAGAAATTGTAATGTTTATTTTGTTGCATAGTGGTCTGAGAATATTGTAGTGGTGAAACGCAGTAAATCGAGTGCTATCCTGTTGGTGTGTGAGTGATTTGAGGCTGAGAGCTGGGACAGCCGCCCACTCCAGACCGGAACACTCACTGCTTGTGGGAAGAAGGCTTTCGGTCTCGCTGAGAGCCGTCTGTCTGACGTGGAATCATCATACGCCAAGCTTCCTGTCTTGCTGCGAAGCACATCATCTGGCCTCTGGCACTGAAACGTCAGGTGGCATAAGGGCTTTGGGTAGGAGCCGCACACATTCTGAACCGGGATCAGCTGTCGTTCTGCAATCCCTGCTGTCTGTCATTGTCTGACACACTGCAGAACTGGACCCAGATCAGTGTAAGAAAGGACGCCCAGGAGGATCCTTAAATTACTTGCACCCCCTCAGAACATACTTAGACTGGAGAGAAAATGACACAGCCAAAAAGAGCGGCACTCAGGCAGCGATCACAGCCGGACACTTATGGATCAGACCATGGAAGAGGTCACGCCACCTATGTGTTCACTGCTTAGTCTCCGTTGTTTTAAAATAAGTATTTCTTATTTTGCATAAATCAGTACAGTGCACATCTACAATCTAGTAGCAAATCCTCTGTGTTTGTCTAACTGATGTTTTTGCACTTTCTGGGTTCAGGTGGATGGTCTCTCAAAGTCCTGAGACCGATCCCTATGGTTAACCTCAGAACAGAGGCATATGGCAGAGATGGTCTGATAGGGTTGGGGTCCCTGGTTGGCATCCTGTGGTGGGAGACAGATGGAGGCAAGCCGGGGCATGAGGGGAACTGCGGTCCTGGCGGAGCAGAGATAAAGACACTAACTACCGCTCAGCTTGTGCAGTCTTTGCAGAGCTAAACTTGCCTTTTTACGTTTTTCTGGACTTTTTTTGGCTTTTATTGCTGCATACAATCTCTGCAGTACACCCCCTAGTGGCAGCCTATGTTAGATCTAAAATGCAATTGCCCTCTCATGTTTTGCCCCAAAACAGCAATCGCAAGTACATTTTCTGTCATCTTTGCAGGACTGTGATATGAAGAGTGTACAAAGTAACACATCTGTAGCAACAGTGTGAAAGTGAATAGCACATAACGGGCACAATACTGGTATAAACATAGATATATATCAGTATAATATGTCACATGACTAAACATGCATCATCATTTTCCAGTACATCCAGTTTCACAGTCCACACTACAACAAGAAAACGCATTTTACCTCAAAGTTTGAGTTAAAATACTTTGTGAGAGATAAACACAACAAGGTTTTAAAAGTGGACTAGTTAGATGAATTTACCGGTTCAGTGTGCTGACATTTAATTTCCCCCGACAACCTTTGAAGTCCCATTTAGCAACTTGTTAGCAACTGGCTTTTTCCAGACAAGTAAAAGCTTACAAAAAATCACAAAGTGGT